GATGCTGCGGTTCAATGGCGGCGGACATATAAATCACACGATATTCTGGCAAAACCTTTCGCCCAAAGGCGGCGGCGAACCGGAGGGCGATCTCCTCAACGAAATCAAGGAGTCGTTCCAATCCTTCGACAAGTTTAAGACACAGATGTCTGCGGCGGCGGCCGGTGTGCAGGGGTCGGGGTGGGCGTGGCTCGGGTACGACCCCAAGACACAGAAACTACGGGTGCAGACCTGTCCCAATCAGGACCCACTGCTGGCCACCACTGGTTTGGTGCCACTGTTTGGCATTGATGTCTGGGAACACGCCTATTATCTGCAGTACAAGAATGTGAGACCCGATTACGTGACCGCCATCTGGAATGTCGCCAATTGGAAGGACGTGGAGGACAGGCTTAGGGCCGCTAAAGCCCTCTAATTCAGTGTTTAGTGATTTAGTTATGCTTTTAATCCCTTATAATGTTTGAGATATGAATCACTAATTATCTGTTGATTGCATCGAAATGATTGCCAACATTTATATGATTTATATGATTATTATTAGTGTTTAATTTGTGATTCAATTATTAAACTACTAATTAAAACAGTGATTAACTGTACATATGATATGAATTTTGTAGTAATAAATGAGTTTTTAATTTCAAAAGTACTTTCGTTTGGTTTCTAAGTTTTTTTTCTTATTTTGAATGCAAACCAGTTATAAATAACTTATTAAATCCAGAGATTAAACAGTTTACTGAAAACATAAAGTTAATTATATTTTTGAAGCTACTATTTCAGTATCCGACCTAAACTTACTAGAATCTACCGGTGCTCTCATATGAATATCTAATTTGATTGAAACAAAGGTAACAGTAATTCTTGTGGTCACTGGTCTCACATATAATAATCTTTCATGTGATCAATAATGTCTTTATATGTCTTTAGATATCCTATCAAACGGTAAAAGTAAACGACTTTCCGGGAAGTTTTCCCATAACTTCCAGTTCCTGGTCTAATGTTACCGGTGCTAACATTAGCGTTATCAAGCTCATTAACGGATACAGTACAGTCTAGGATATGGGGCATGGAGTAAGGCTAATGACTAATTATGTTACATAAAACATAACTAATTAACTATCAGAAAGTCATAAAAGGTGTTCCGGGTGTAGGTTTAGCAATACCTGGCTGTTTATGGCCCTATATTTACGTAACAGAGTTACATAAAAACAATTTTTATAATACGTTAAACATAACATTAGTTTCGGTACCTTTTACTGGTATTACTCTTAGAAGTTACATACATAAAGGGACCGAATGTGCGACTGATTAGCATACAAGGCGTTGCCATTGAATGTGTGATTGTTTTTGTCGTCAATTAATTGATGTTTTGCTGTAAATATCATTACATTTAACACACGTTTCGCTTGTATTGTCACCAATTGGTCCATAAGTGTGCACACGAGTAGATATTCGCAAAAATGGTGGTCAAAGTGCTCATCTCAGGCATCTCTGCCTCCAAAGAGGTATGTCATCCGCCAAATGAGGCGCCAATTGTAGTGATAATCCGGTTGTGATCTGCGGTTAGATTAAGAAATACCAACAAAGGGCTCAAATGCTGTTGGATTCGCTGAGGATTGCCTACGAGGCCATCGACATCACCGAACCCGGACATGAAGTCGAGAAGGATCTCATGAGGAATGTCTGCAAAAAGAGGAATAACAATACGATAGCACTTCCGCCGCAGTTCTTCAACGATGACCGCTATTGCGGGGTTAGTATCGCCACTAGACTTACCACTCAATGATAATTAGTTTTAATTTCACTCAAATCTATCATATTTTATACCTCACGAGTCATTGTGTGGTTAATTGGTTGACAATTGTCTCAACCATTGAACTCACTTACAGTATAAATCTGTTTAACAATTGATTTGTTTGCTTGTCTTAAGGATTACGAAGACTTTTCTACGGCCAGCGATGACGACACTGTCTTAAGCTTTCTGGGACTGGAAGAGGACATCACTATCGAGAACGGAGACGCCTCTCCCGGGGCAGCCGGAGGTATGACCCCTTCCGACGATAATGACAGTCACTCTATAGCTAACGGCGAACGCAAAGAGTCGCCCAACGATGTAGTGATGGACGAGGAAGTGGTGAGCGAAGTGACTACTGTTGAGGAAGTGCTCACATTAGATGGCAAAGTGGTGGACATTCCCGCCGACAAGATATTTGAAATAAAGGGCAAAAAATTGGATTTAAATGAAATGTTGTTCACAAAAACGCAAAAAGTAGATGAAATGCATTCAGTGGTCCGGAGAGAGAGTGACACCAATGATACGAATGATACAAATGAGTCAATGGAGACATCCGGTGATAACGAACCCATTCCTGATGGGAATGAGACACAAGAATCACCGGTTGTTAGGAGTGATAGTGTAGATGATGTCAAGAATGGTAGCGATAGTAATGAGAGCGTAGACAGCGATGAGGACAGTGTTGATGAGGAGGAGAATTAGTGGTCAGGAAATGAAGAGTATTTTAAATCAACGAATGGATTGATGGAAACGTTTTGTCGAAATTTTTTATCACATAAATACGAGTCACATATTAATTACTAGATTACTAAATAATTTAATTTATTTTAATTGACTTTTTTTATATAAGTTATATTACTATTTGGTATAAAAGTTAATGACTTTTAATTGTATTAATAATCAGAACTTAATTCATATGACAAACATTGACCGCATTTTATCTCTCATTTACAGCCAATTGAATGCCGTGACTGGCCTACCAGTGCTCGATATCGCATGGCTTACAACCGAATTGGATGTGTTTGTGCACGATATATAGTACCTATAAATACACTGTCTATTAAAACACACTAACCAGTGATCAAATTAACCGCAAATCTGTATAAAACTAATATTTATTTGACTCAAATTAATACTAACCATTAATCTATGTTTGATTTATTGAATACTTGAATATCACTTCCAAAATGACTCTGATACAAAACTTACTATACAAAACCACTTTAACATGAATTATTTGCACTATTCATTACTAATTGATAATATAAAAATCGTAATTTTAATTATTATATCGATATATAACTGATATATTTATTGGAAGCCAGGTTTGAAAAGATATTTTTTGACTAAATTGTGATAAAATATATCGAAAGAACTTATTTATTAATTAGTAGAGTATTAATGAACTAAATATTTGAATGTAACGTTAGTTTCTCACATTAAATTTACGCTCAAATTAGATATTAATTACCCGTTTTGTGTCCGTATTATATGTTTGGCTTTATTTGAGATTTTTATTTGATTTGATTTTTTTTGGCATTAGTTTTTGAAATGTTATTTCATTTTTTGCTCTCAATGTTTGAGACAATTTTTGGTCATTACTTTTAATTTAATAAATATTTTCTGTCTAATTGTCAGTAAGTTTAACATTTATTTGATTATAATTTGTGTTTTTGTTTGTAATTAAGATTTTAATTATCGGTAATTGTATGTCTCGACTGATTAATGGTTTGTGTTTTCAAACCAATTCTCATAACTGAATGTAAATCATATTTTGTTAATACATTTGTTCCCAACAAACATATAATAAACATATTGGAAAGGCTGGTGACATAACTACAGTCAAACGAGTGGTTACTATCATTCAATGAAACGTTTTCGTAATTTTTTAGTTAATTTATTGATTTTTAAAAATTACTGAATCACAGAATATTCTTGTAATACACGTGTCATATGTGACAAAAGTGTCAAGAATTGACATTTTATAAATACACTGGTGAGTATTATTTGTGAATATTTGTAGTGATTCTTGTGGTAAAAATCATATCGTGATAAAAAGTATTGATATGCCGTCTAATTAGTGGTTCAGCTGATCCATAGGGTGACAATTAGTTGGCCAAGTTTTGCCGTAATTATTGGATACACGAGACAAGTGTTTGTGGTTTATTAATATAAGGGTTAGTTATTTGCAGGGAATCCATCGAAATTTCGTATCTTCCCTCCCAAAAGCACCAAGATTAATTTAAAAAACATATAAAATTAAATTTACATCACCTTGATAGTTCGTAACTAATATTGATTGACAATTTGACAAGCAATGAATATAACGAATAGGTTATGGCATTGAATTGAGGGGAATATTGCCGGGAATACACACACTTCTGTGGGAATTACTGAACGCTTAGAGTATTGACAGAAAGTAAACACAGCTATCAGTTGAGTGTCAGTCAGACAGACATCTGACGTGAAGTTGCGGACAATGGGATCAGTATCGCAGATCGGACTCAATTGGACGCATGTCTTGGAGAAGGAGTTTGACGTGTCTTTCGTGGACACCGACACGTGTTTGGCGCACGTGTTTGCACTGATATCGGACTCGGAGGAAGCGGGTCCCTCTTGTAACCAATTCAATGACCTGATGGTCAACATCTGCGACGCCCGACAGCACCTGACGGCCATGTCTTCGGTCTTCACACAACTCATCCATAAGACCATTACCATCGCCAACAACAACCACGAGCTGACGGTATGACTCATGAATTGATACCATATTTAAGACACCGATGTCTCGCATCCCATATGTGATGATGTCTTCACCCGTATGTGTCATACCATTGATATATCACTCGTTTGATTGTGTGCTAAATGTCTTGAGATTGTCTTCGTTTAAGGATTTAATGATTGATTTTTATTATGATATCAATGGAAATGGTATTAAAAATAATGTATAAAAAGAGATAATTTGTGGCAAATTATCGACGATTTGGCGGCAATTCTTCGTCGGTTTGTTCATCATTTGTGTCGCTATTCTTTGTGCTATTGTGTCGATCCCTACGACAGACACTAATCAATTGACTTCTGGTTAGAAAGCATTCCTCGTGAGCGACAGTCGCCGAAGAATTGCTGTGAATTTGTCTCATAATTTCGGTCACTATTCGCTCATCAGTTCTCTCGATCTGTGTCTGGAGTCGAGCCGTCGATTCGTTGATAAGACTCCGGAGACCATCGATGGACTCTTTGACGGCTGTCATGTCGACACTCGACTTGTTTCTGATCTCAACCAACATGTCGTCCAACACGTCGTACAGCTGTTCCTCTTCCTCTTGGATCCGATTACAGGAACTGATGAACGAGTTCTGCGATATCATCAAAGCGTTGAACGAGTCATCGATGGTTGTGGACAAGTGGTACAGCTTTTGCTCCAACGGTTCCCGGATATCGGAAAAGTCTGGTGTCTTAGTCAGCGAACCGTCGATTAGTTCTTGCAGTCGATGGAGCTCTTGGCGGATAAGGGATCGGGTTTTGTTGGCCGTATCGATGGCTACTTTAAGATATTCCTCCGACGTCTGCGACGATCGCCATATCTCTTGGATTGTGTTAATTATTTTGCGGGAATAGTAGTCCACGTGAACGTCCAGTTGTGTTAGTTTTTCATCGACAGCCAGTTGTTGTCTCAACTGTTCCACCGTTGAGGACACTTCCCGGATATCATTGCCATCGGTTCCGGCAGTCGTATTGTCGTCTAATGAACGACCATTTGTCGGACTATTGGCGCTATTTGTACCGCAATTGTCACACTTCTTGTGATTATTATCTCGAAAGCCCGTGTCTTGTAGTGTATGAAGTGTTGTGTAATTCTAACCATAAGGTTATCATTGATTTTAGACATTAATTACCATTTAATGGATCCGACAATACCTGTAACTGTATGGCGACTGTCGAGAGTATTGATATCACAGAATTGTGGTCCTGTTTGTAGTCTTTCAGTGTCTGAACCATATTGTCAACCGACTGGAAGTCATAGGTGACAATGTCTTTGATTTTGGTGTTGGCGTCCAATGAATGCTTCACAAGACTCTCGATGTTAATGATGTGTGACTTGACGTGCGATTCAAACACTGTATGTCTTTCGTCGTATTTGGAGAACTTCTCGAAGACTTCTTCGCCGGTCCGGTCGATGTGTCTCTCAATTGAGTCCAATTTGTCGACAATTTTATTGAGTGTCGACTCGAACTTGATCTCAATGTGTGCAGACTTTTGATGATAATATCGATATAATAAGAGATGACTAGAAATAGATTTCAAATACCTTTAACTCAATCCTATCGCTCAAGTCATCGACTTTTCTGGCAATGGATTCCGTCTTAAACTCTGATTTCCTATCACTCGAGACAAACATCTCTTCAATTTTTGTCATTTTCGAGTCGAAACTGTTCTCTAGTCTCAAAAGTTTCGACTCAATGGACACAATTCGTTGAGACAATTGCTCTAAAGTGAAGTCAAGTCGTGTCAACTTATAGGTGTTGTCGTAGGCCTCCAATCGATTTGGAGGATCGCAAGGATTTGTTTGACATTCAAAAGGACTCAATACAGAAGGCGTACGACGTCTGCTGTTTCACGCAAATGACGGATAACTCGAAGTTTGTGGCCATTAATGGCGGCCCGAAGACCGGCAAAAGCGAGTGCTTAAGAGAAACGGTTTTACAATTGATTAGAAAAGCGGACTTCAAAGCCAAGAAAGTGCTGGTCGTTACCCATAGCAGCACTGAAGTGGAGGCGATGGTGGAGTTCCTCAAGAAGAATGAGATCAAAGTGTTTCACATCGACAGCAAAGGCCTGTGTCTGTCGCACAAGAAGTCGGATATTAAAAGAGTTGTGCGGAAAATGAATAAAGAGATGCATTTGGATGACATCCCGGCGAAGGACGAGTCGATAGACAAGCTGTTGAAGTACTACAACGACGACATCACCGATGCTGACCTGTCCGTCAAAGATAAGTACGTCAAGGAGTGCATCCATTTACGGGTTGTCAACAAATTGGTGACCGAATCTCAGGTGATAATCGGTTCCATCGGTGATATGATGAACGACGAGTTGTTTAATGTGGTGTACAATAGCACTGACGAGAATAACATCGAGTGCGCGCTCATAGATAATGCACACCTCCTCACAGAGACTGAGGTACTGACCCTTTTGTATGCCGGAGTCCGTGGGTTTGCCTTATATGGCGATAATATGGTGAACGCCAGGAGTCACGAGAGGCGCGAGTCGTTCTTCCAGCGATACATTCGTCTCTATAATAAGAATTATCGCCAAAACGATAACAAAGAATATTCTGTCTTTCATTTCCGCGACTCCATTGAATCCCTTCAGCGGCTGTCCAGGAATTCCAATAACCGCGCGAACAGAGGGGACTGGAGGGTCGACCACAAAAACGTGAACAATAGGATGGCTGAATACAGGGGTCGATCCAACTATGGGTCGACTTTCTTCGAGAAAAACAACAAATTCAATGACATTAAGCCTGTCGTGAAGAATGAGATCAAGAATGAGAGCAAAC